TCACTGGGCTGACCCTTCAGTCTGGCTTACCCAGCCTTCCACAGCCCAGCCGGTCTGCCCCTCTGTTCTTGCGTCTTCCCTGCACCCAGGTTATTTTTCGGCCAAACTCGGCAGCTCACAGTGCCCTGATATTCTGTGCACTTGCCTGTCTCCCTGTGTTTGCGAGGCCTGCTCCTTCCATCTAGACTACTCCTCCAAACCCCCACCTAAAACCCTACCCTTCCTTTAAGACCCGAGATGCTTCCTTCCTTCCCAGATGTGCCGACGGAGTGGGTTCACTTCTTCCTTTGACTCTCCACAGCACTTTGACCCTCCTTAGAAGACCATAACCCACTCTGTCTCCATTCTAGATTGTAAGCACCGAAAGGGCAAGGTTTGTATTTGTTTCATCTATGTATCCCTCTCTCTCACCCCCTATACAGAGCTTTGCATGTAGTAGCTGCTCAATAAACATATCTCGAATCAACTGACCTGGAGCCTGCAGTGCGGGCTGCTGGGTGCTGCAGGGGTGGGAAGGGGTGCTCCGCAGCTGCAGGAGACTGGAGGAGTGTGCTCAGAAGCAGGAGGCAAGGACCTGCTTAGGAAGGTGTGCAGGTAGTCTGACTCGGTCTCCTCAGAACCTTCCCAGAAGGCGGAGCACTTTGCTGAGGAGAGCAGGCAGCTGGGAGGGCCTGGGAGAGGTGGGGGGTCAAAGAAACACACCAGGCGCTGGGGTATGACAGGTCTGGACTGCTGGGGGACTTCAGTGTTGGGTGTGATGGAGCCCGACTGTCTGCATCCCTAGTGACAGGCAAAAGGGTGTAGGAATCCGGAGGCTTGGACCCTGGTCACATCTTCACCCTCTAGCTGTGCAGCCCGGGGCCAGTCACTTCCCCTCTCTGGGCCTGTTCCCCTGGAATGTACATACTTGACCTCCTATGACCCTTGCAGCTCTGCTATTCTGACTCCATTTTGAGGTTCAGAAGTGGAGGGGTGATGCCCAGTGGGGATTTGTACATGACACCCCCCTGCCCTGCCCTAGCCCTGAGCACTAGGAGTGACCCCACGGAGGTCCTGGACCAGAGAAGCTGACAGGTCCAAAGCCGAGAAGGAGCCATGTGGCCTGAGTAAGCTGGGGTCTGGCTCAGAGAATGAGGAGGGGGTGGCAGAGGGAGCAGCACCTCCAGTTCAGAGCAGGCAAAACGCCCAGTTTTCAGGCTCCAGGGGAGGGCTTTCGGGGACCCCTTGTCTTTCACTGTGCTTCCTTGTCCTCTTCCTTGTCCCATCCCCAGACTCAGTCCATACAGCTCTGGGATTGGGTCCCAGCTGCTCAGCTGTGTGGCTCTGAGAAAGCCACTTAACCTCTCTGAACCTCAGTTTCCACATCTGTAAATGGAGTTACTGAAACGAACTCAGAAGACTGTCATAAAACTACTCGTGTGAAAGTGCCGGGTACCATGCTTACTGCTGGGATCTCCCTTCTCCATCAGAAGGAGGGCAGTTGGGACAGATGCCCGGCAAGCCACAGGGCAAACAGTCCACGGTGCACTGGGGGCGGGGCGGGGCGTTCAGCAGGGCAGGCGATGGGGGAGGTCGGATGGGAAGACGGGCAGAGGGTATTGTCCAAGCAGCTCCTGACCGCCAGTGAGGAAGGGCCGCTCCACCCCGCCTGCAGACCCACCCACTGCGGGGTTCTCAAGGACCCCCGAGCTGTCTGGGCATCTCCTCTGGGGGTCCTGTACGGAGCCCCAGCTGATGCACAGGGGCCGGCAGCCTGGAGAGGGCTCCTTGGCCTCAGCGGGCCGGGCCTGCGGCTGCACGGTGGGTGTCCCTGCCGCTCTTCTGAGTCTGGTTCATCCGAGGCCCCCAGTTTCTAATCTGGGTGGGAAGGGTTTATTTTTGGGTCCCTGTAACCTAGCAATGGGCTCACATGACCAGTGGCAGCTGCAGGCTGAATATACCGTTGGATCTGGGCTCCTGGCAGGGGGTGCCAGCCAGACTGTGGGGGAATAAAGGGAAAGGAAAGGCGCTCACCTCTGCTTTCCTCCTCTCCCCCTCAGTCCCTCAGCCTGCCCGGCCCCCAGATGGTGGGCAGCAAGGTGGGGGCCTGGGGAGCAGGCACAGGGGCCCTGGACAGCTGGGCGCAGGGCTGCGTGGGGGAGGTCCCAGCTGTGAGCCCGCTGTCCATGGGGGAGGGTTGGGGTCCATGAAGGTGGAGGTGGGTGCAGGGAGGACCAGGAGGTGGCGTCCTGGGGGGCGAGGCCAGGCTGGGGAGTAAGGGTGTGAACAGACAGGCTACGATGTGGGATCCCGGGGGCACCCCTGGTCGCTGCTGGAATCCCAGCATCCGGCGTCCTCCCTCTGTTCGCTGTTAAATTGTTAATATTCCTGGGAGGGAGCGCGCAGCAAGCCGCGCGGTGCGAACGGGGGCATCTGCCTCTTTCCCGAGAGCAGGTTCCGACAGAGGCGGGGAGCAGAGGAGGGGGCGGGGCCGCGGGGAGGGGGCCGTGGGCACCGGGAGAGCATTCGGCACAGAGTGACTGAATACGTGGGTGTGCGAGTGAACGGCGAGCTGCGTCCACTTCACGGTCTCATCTGAGGGGACAGGAAAGGGTGGGGTGCTGGGGGTGGGGGCAGAGGTGCTGGTGGGCAGGGGTGGGCAGGGCTGGCCAAGGAGGAAGTCGGGTGTGGAGAAAGCAGCCCTCAGCACCAAGGGCTCCAGCACCGACCGAGGAGGGGGCGCCACTGCCCAGGACCTGTAGGGGGAGCCCGCTCCCGGGAATGAATCCCCGTCCACGGATCTCTGACGGGGTGCAGGGCAGCACCCCTGGTTCCCCGCCTTGGTCTCTCCCACCTCCTCCCTTGTGCTACGCGCTAAAAGGAAGGACGGGCAGGGTGGGGCGGGGGCATGTGATATCCACGGCTATCTGAACCCCGACTGAGATCATTTAGTGAGATACAGCAGAAGAAGTGCCTCCCCAGATGGGGCCCTCCATAACTGGTATCGTCACCATCATCATCACCTTCATCATCTTCATCATCATCGTAATCACCCGCATGAGCAACACCTGCCCCCCAGGCCAGGATGCACGGTTTTTCCTCCCCCAACCCCCACTGGGGGAGGGGCCTGGGGACCCGGAGCCTGGCCATCAGGGTGACCACTCGCTCCGCCAGGGCTGTGTTTGTATTTCGGACTCCCAATGCCTATGAGATTAGGTGGGGAGTGAAGGCTTCTGCCCATTTTATAGATAGAAAAACCAAGGCACAAATGGCCAGCCCACCGGCCAGACCTTACCACCAGCCAACAGAGGAGAGCTCAGTTAGAATAGAGCGGAGGTTTTTTGCCCAACCCGTCCGGTGCTCCTCTAATCCTGTCCTGAGGGGCCTGAGTCCACTCTCGTTCTCTGGGGCCCTTGGAAGGGGCGGTGTCTGTCTGGGCAGAGCCCCTGCAGGGCGGCTGGTGCTGGTCAGAGGGTCTGATTGACAGCAAGACGATCCTGCCGCCAACAGAGCAGCACAGGATGGGAGGAGAACCCCTTCGCTGTCTACAGGGTTTAACCTGACCTTTGGTTTGACCTCCCTGTGCTCGGGTACAGCCAGCTTTGCTGGGGGCTGTCCCCCGGGAGACAGCGGCCAGGTCAGCGTGGCCCAGAGACTCCTGTCGGCCCCCAGAGTGGCCGTGGGCACACGGGGGGAGGAGCAGCTGCTCTGGCTTCAGACAGACCCACCCAGGGTCACGTTCTGGCCCTGGCACTCATCGCCGTGTGACCTGGGGGAGGTCACGTACGCTGGGGCACCTGTTTCCTCACCTGGGAAAGGAGGCGAGTGGTGGCTGCCTCCCAGCACTGGTGTGAGGGTTGCAGGACAGCGTGCAAAGGGCTCGAGAAAGGGCGGCCGGGGGTCGAGGAGCTCGCTGCGTGGGCCTGGGGTGGACGCGGGCTCTGCCGTCGGCCCGGGGCCTGGGGCAGCCGCCTCGCCCCGTCTGGAGTTCCCTGAGCATCGCTCCTATGGCCCTTGGGTTGGGCCTGGTAAGTAATCCCAGCGTTCCCTTTCTTCCGTTCTGGAGACAGAAGGGGTTCCCGGGTGGGCACGTCTCAGGGCTCAGCCGAGGGTGGCTTTGGGAAACCTCTCCCCTCCCTGGGCCTCAGAAGCATGGACGCCTTGGCCGTGGGGTGCCTCACGGCCCTTCGATGTCAGGCTCCTGTCCTGGGGGTCAGCCCTGCGCCTTGGGGTGTGGGCCGTTTTCTTCGTGGCTAGTGGGAGGCCATGTCCCTTCCTCTCCTCTCCCCTCCCAGTGCTCATCACAGAACCCTCCGACCCTGCTCAGCCCGGCGACCACTGGGGGCTTCCCGAGAACCTCCCTCTGCCTTCAGGGAGCGGGGGTGTTGGACCCGCCACCATTCCCATCAGCTCTCACAGCTCCCCACAGAGTACACACACAGGCTAAGAAAACAATAATAGTGTGCTTCTGAGGGGCAAGGGCAGGGCTCGGACAGGGCCTTTAGCGACCTTCGAACCTGACTGCCACTCTGAAACCTGCCCTCCATACGCATGCGCTGGCACCCAAGGGAGCCAGACCTGGGCCCACCCCTGGAGCCTTGGGCCCTGCCAGGCCGGCCCGGGCTCTGTCTGCACTGGCTGGCTTGCTACAAAGCACCCTGGTTCTGAGGCCGCCCGGAACCATGCAAGCCCAGAGCTGTCAGGAGCGTCAGGGATCAGCTATCCTGTGTGCCTTTGAACGGGTAAGAAGCGCAGGCCAGACATAGGAAGTGACTTGCCCAAGGTCACAAAACAGGAAAACACCAGCGCTGGGCCTTAGACCTGGGTCGTCTGATGCCAGCGCTCTTTTTCTTCATCTGGGTGACCGGGAGGGTCTCCCCTGCCTCCCATCACGTGGCCCCACTCAGCTGCCTGAAGAAGGTGGGAAGGGCAGGGCCCGCTCCGGGTGCCTCGCCTGGGGGGCCTGCAGAGGTGGGGGGGGGCCTGCAGTGACTCTGAGGGGCTGGGTGGGAAGTGGGAGGCCGTTAGGACCCAGAAGCTCTCCGAGCATCCCGCTCTGCCGGCTGCCTCTCATGCTTGCTGCAGTGGCTTCAGCAGCCTCGGAGAAGCAGCATCAGCCGGGAGAAGCTATCACATGGGGACCTGGAGCTGCTCGGCAAAGGTAGGAGTTGCCGACTAGGCCAGGAACAGGGGCTCGTGCTGGGGCCGGGGCCGGGGGCTGAGGTGCCCTACGGAAGGGCGGTGTCCTGGGGACCAGCCCACCCTACCTCATGCCAGGGACGGCTCCCAGGTATCCCGAAGGCAGCCTTGGGGTGTGGGCATCTCCGAAGCCTAGAGGTGGGGGGTTGATCTGCCAACGGGAGTACCCATGTTCCGCAGGCAGGCAGGGTTCTCCGTCTATCTCCTTCCCTGTCAGAACGATGGGTCCCCCGCCTCCTGGGAATGGGTCCCTGGGCATCCAGGCCGATGGGCCACTGTGTGTCCTGGGCGGGGGGCACTGCTGGGGAGAAGCATTGCAGAGCCCAGAACCCTCCCCGGGCTTAGGAGGGGCAGGCGCCTGTCTGACGGAAGGCTGGGCTGGGGCCGGGGGACGGCAGCTCCGTGACCGGGAGACAGGTGCATGGGAAGCCTATGGGAGCCTCCGTGGCCTTGGGCTGGGCACTGACGTGCATCCCGCCCCCAGAGATGAGGGCGTCTGTAACTTGACCGTGTCCCTGCTGGAGGCCCAGACCCCGGCCCAGGGGTGGCCAAACCTCCTCCAGGTACTCAGAGGTCTTGAGGTGAAGGTAGGGGGGCGGGTGGGAAGAAAGCAGCGGACCAGAGCGTCTGAGAAGGCATGATGATGTGAGCTGGGGGAGGCCTGAGGCCCGGGGCCTCCCTCGGACACCAAGCCCGGCCCGAGGGTGAGGGCGTGCCGGGGGCAGGCCTGCCAGTGCAGGGGCTGGGGGAGAAACTGGGATCCTGGAACTGAGGAGTCAGCGTGGAGACCCTGGCGAGGAGGCCGAGGGAGCCGTGGAGAAGAGAAATGTCTGAGGCTTTCCCGTCTGCGCCCGTCACAGCTGCCCAGCACCTGCCTGCCGGTCCCCTCCAGGTGGCAGCCCTGTCTCGGCGTGGGACCCTGCCCGCCCTGCCGGCAGACTCTCGGTGTCCCCGCAGACCCGATGGGCCTCCGCTCCTTCGGCCCCCAGGGCCTCTCCCAGGGCCAGGGGCCAGTGAAGGCATGACACGGACGGGGAGGGGCGAGGGTGCCTCTCCTGGCGTCCCTGTTGGCATTCCCCCCCGCCCCGGGGGAAGACTGTCTTAGGAGAAGCTGCGGTCCCCACTTCAGGGACATCTCGCCGCCGTCTCTGCAGCCTCGGGGTCTGTGTGGCCATTTTGGCTGTGTGATGAGCTTCCTGCCATCCCTGGGGAACGGCCTGTCTGCGGGCAGTGGTCCGGAGTTAGGGCTGCCTCGCCCCGGAGCCCAGGCCGCCCTTTCCAGGAGGGAAGCCGGCCCGCAGCCGGCTGGTGGAGTGTTCTCGGAGCGAGTGCCGGCCGGCGGCAGCGGCTCCACGGGCGCATCGAGTTTGACTCAGTCCACCGCCTGGCCCCCAGCGCCCACTGCCGCGCTGGGGCTACATTAGGGCAAGGTTGGCGGTGAGGCCCCCGAGCTAGGGTGATTTTGGCTGTGACTGCGGAGGGGGGCTGGGACCCCTCTGCCCCACGTGGTCCTCTTTACTGCAGTCAGAGAAATGGTGGGTTTTCAAACCCAGCGAGCCCCCAGGTCAGACCCCCTGGAGCCCAGGAGCTCACAGGGTCCTCCAATGTTATCCTAGGCGGGACTCTTGGAGGTGACCCAGCCCACCCCTCCCTTTTCACAGGTGAGGAAACCGGGACCCCGGTGACTTGGCTATAGAAAGTCCATCCAAGGCAGCACGTCCCCAGCTTGCCTCTCAGTTGCACACCTTAGCACCGTGTGCTGAGGGGCTCTGGACGGCAGGAATGGTACCTGGAGATGAACTAAATTGAAAATTACATTGGGCAACTCATTTCCACTGTAAGCAAACTCAGTGTGGGCAACGAGGCCCAGGAAACAGATCTGACCTGCCACCGGATCCGGAGCCTGGAGAGACGCTGACACCCCAGACTCCCCCCCGCCCCCAGTTTCTCCCCATCTCCTCCCCGCTTCACGCTCACCCACGTTCACGATCGCAGGCGTCTGCCCACTCTCACGCCCACCCTGCTATGCACAGATGCCTGCTCCTCCTCCCTGTTCTGTGGTGTGGGGACCGTCCTGGAACAAGGGGGCTTTGGGCCAGGGGTCTTCCGGTGGTCACCTCCAGTGACCAGAGATCTGTGGCCCCGGGTTGGGGGCAGGTTAGGAACGGCTCCCCTCCCACCTGCAGGGACACAGGACCCTGGAGAAGTTAGTGAGTGGGTGGACAAAGGCAGCTTTCTAGTGACTTCTGCCCGTCCGGCTTAGGCAGCAGTGGAGGCTGCAGCTGGGATGCTTTGTTTGGCTGTCCCTTCTCAACACCCCCCCCCAAGTGTCAGCTCTTTGTCTCGAGGGCGGTGTCGTCAGAGCAGGCTAAAGCACAGTCCGTCCCCTCCTGAAGGGACCTCTTCCTGGTGGTGGCCCCAGAGCAGCGAGAGACATTTTCAGAGATGGTTCAACAACTACTCACTGAATGTCGAGAACACATCCCAGCCGCTGTCTGGGGCACCCCTGAACTCGGCAAGGCACGGTCGGCTGCCGTGCCAGCCCTGGAGCCGGGCTGCCTGGGTGGGGGGGGGGTGTACCCCAACCTTGCCTCTTACTAGCCCTGTGACCTTCGGTAAGTTACTCACCCTGTCTAGGCCTCCGTTTCAGCGAATGCGAAACGGGAATAAGAATCACATCCGCCTGTCAGGGTTGCGTGCGCACTGAAATGAGTTAATGCGCAGAGTGCTTAGAACAGGGCCTGGCGCGGCATCATGTCGCTGCTTATGATTCGTGTTCTTGTTAGTGAGTCTCCCAGGATCCCGGGAACAGGTTGTGAAGCAGGTATCATTCCCTCCATTTTGCAGATGCCTTTATGAGGACACCGGAGATCCGAAGGGTCCCCCAGGGAAAGTGAGTAGCCCCAGCCCTGGGACTGGAAGCCAGGCCTCGCGCTCTTCCTCAACAGCGCCCCCCTCCGGGGGAGACAAGAAGTCAGGAAATTCGCATCAAAACTTTCCAACGGAGGCCTCGTGGGGAGCTCAGCTGGACCCTGGGAGAGGAGAGCAGAGGATTCAGACTGGCTGAGCCACCGCCTTCCAGAGGGGCGACGGGTGGGGCCCTGGAGGAGAGAACGCGGTGAGGAAGGAGCCCGAGGCCAGCGGGCAGGTGGGGTGGGGAGCGTCCGAGGCTCCCACGTCTCTCGCCACGTCTGTCTCCAACGTCGCCACGGTCACCAGGGCCCACCCCGAGCCACCTCCCCTCAGAGAGATGCGCTCCTGAGCCCTCGGTTTCCGGCCGGGCGCTGCGGACCAGCGACCCAGCCTCCAGGGCTGCCCACGAGAGCCTGCCCGTGGGACTCCGGCGGGAGGCGCCCGCCCCCCAGCACCGGGAAGCCTGGGCCTGGGCTGGCCACCCCAGGATCACCGGACTAGGATGGGGGATGGGCCTGTGACGGGAGGTGCCCTGGGCGTCCTCTTCCGGCCCCATGGAGTCCTCGCCCGTCCCCCAGTCGTCAGGGAACTCTTCCGCGCTGGGGAGGGCCCCTCACACCCCCGGTCCCTCCACTGCCAGTGGGGTCCCCGAGGCGGAGCTGCGGGACGTGGCTTCGGAATCCGTGGCGCTCTTCTTCATGCTCCTGCTGGACCTGACCGCCGTGGCTGGCAACGCCGCCGTGATGGCCGTCATCGCCAAGACACCCGCGCTCCGGAAATTCGTCTTTGTCTTCCACCTCTGCCTGGTGGACCTGCTGGCCGCGCTGACCCTCATGCCCCTGGCCATGCTCTCCAGCTCCGCCCTCTTTGACCATGACCTCTTTGGAGAGGTCGCCTGCCGCCTCTACTTGTTCCTGAGCGTCTGCTTCGTCAGCCTGGCCATTCTCTCGGTGTCCGCCATCAACGTGGAGCGCTATTACTACGTGGTCCACCCCATGCGCTACGAGGTGCGCATGACGCTGGGGCTGGTAACCTCCGTGCTGGTGGGCGTGTGGGTGAAGGCCTTGGCCGTGGCTTCCGTGCCCGTGCTGGGCAGGGTCTCCCGGGAGGAGGGAGCTCCCAGCATGCCCCCAGGTTGCTCACTCCAATGGAGCCGCAGTGCCTACTGCCAGCTTTTCGTGGTGGTCTTTGCCATCCTCTACTTCCTGTTGCCCCTGCTCCTCATCCTGGTGGTCTACTGCAGCATGTTCCGCGTGGCCCGCGTGGCTGCCATGCAGCACGGACCGCTGCCCACGTGGATGGAGACCCCCCGGCAGCGCTCGGAGTCTCTCAGCAGCCGCTCCACCATGGTCACCAGCTCGGGGGCCCACCAGACCACCCCGCACCGGACGTTTGGGGGCGGGAAGGCGGCCGTGGTCCTCCTGGCCGTGGGGGGACAGTTCCTGCTCTGTTGGTTGCCCTACTTTTCTTTCCACCTCTACGTGGCCCTGAGCGCTCAGCCCATCTCGACCAGGCAGGTGGAGAACGTGGTGACGTGGATTGGCTACTTCTGCTTCACCTCCAACCCTTTCTTCTACGGCTGTCTCAATAGGCAGATCCGGGGGGAGCTCAGCAAGCAGTTTGTCTGCTTCTTCAAGCAGGCTCCGGAGGAGGAGCTGAGGCTGCCCAGCCGGGAGGGCTCCATCGAGGAGAACTTCCTGCAGTTCCTTCAGGGGACTGGCTGTTCCACCGAGTCCTGGGCTTCCCGGCCCCTCCCCAGCCCCAAGCAGGAGCCGGCCACCGTGGACTTCCGAATCCCGGGCCAGATAGCGGAGGAGACCTCGGAGCTGCTGGAGCAACAGCTCACCAGCGACATCATCACGTCCGACAGCTACCTCCGTCCTGCCCCCTCACCTCGACCCGAGTCATGACGGGCTGCTGGACGCCCGGAGGGAGCGGGGCTGGGGGCCGGTCAGCACCGCACAGAGCACCTTGTGGGCCGCCTTTCCCCAGCGAGCCGGGGCTGGGGCTGGGGTCTGTGCACACTTAGAGTTTTCTGGGTCAGGAACAGAGCCAACAGGATGGACATGTGGCCAGAGCCTTGGACATGGCTGTGACCCTTGACTCCTGGGGGAGGGAGCCTGGCGAGATGGTGATGAGAGGAAAGGGTCACGAAGGTGAGAAGATCGATGTCTTCGAACCAGGGAACCTCCCATGCCCCTGGAGGCAGGGAACTCCCTAGTGTAGGGGTTGGAGGGTATAGGGCAGCAGGCCGGGCTTGGCGTTACTCTGGGGACCCTTCAGGATATTTGTTTTCAGTGTCACTGTCCAGGGCAGTGTCTTCTTGTCTCCTTGTTTGGTTTAAAAAGAACTCTCACAGCCGAGTGTTTCGATTTGAGTAAAACAGAGCTTTTTCTAGTTTGAGACCTGCGGTTTCCTTAAAGTGAGAGGACCAGCCGGAGATGGTCCCTTCCTGAGTCTGGCCAGAAGCAACAGGAAACAGCACGCGGGCGCACAGAGGAGGGGACAGGGAAGCGGGCTGCAGCCGCCGCTCCCCCCTCCAGGGACGGCCCTTCCGCTGTGTTGCTCTGCCTCTGGCCTGCGCACACAGGCCATCCGGCCTGGGGGGTTATCTTAGCAGAGGCCAGAATGAGACAGGGGGGCTCTTTCTCTTTGCCTTTTAGGATGAAGAAGTGGAAAGATTGGGGGTTGGATGGCAGAGGGTGGGCATCAGCATTTGAATTGCTAAGGTGGCTGGAGGCAGAGAGGCCAGGCAATCGCTCTCACCAACCACACTGTAAATCTTCTTTGTTTTCTAGGGCCGGCCTCCCCGATTTCTCTCACGGCGGTGACCCACCTCCAGCCCCCCAGACAACCCGGTGCAGAGACTAAGGTTGGGAACGGGTCGGGAGGGGTTTCCACGGTCCATTAAACCAAAACCTCCCTACTCCCAGGCATCACTCTCAAAATTAGCTTCAGTGGCAAAAGACTTAAATCTCTCTCCTACCTGCAGCCCTGGGGTGGAGACGGGCCACAGGAGCGGGGCTCAGCACCCACCGATTGACGCTGTAGGGACTGTGTTGGGTGGTGTTGGGGTGATGTTTTCAAGGGAGGGGGGAACTGCGCCCTGGATGGGGTGTCCACCCGGGACTACTCGTCCATCCAGCTCCCTCAGCCGAGGCGGGTAGCAGTGCAAGGTTGAGGCAGAACCGAGAGGGTGCGCGCTCTGCATTTGAACAAATCCCTGGCTCACTGAGCGTCAGAGGGGAGGACGGCCTGCTGGGAGTGGGAGAGTTTCCCCTTGGAACAGCCAATAAATAATTTTTATTATAAAAGTGATACCAATACCAACATCGACTCCTTCAGTTCAATGCAGTGCATCAGTGGAATACCCGATATTCTCAGGGCCCCACGTGGAGGATGGGCAGCCACTGTCTGCAAGGAGTCCGTGGTCTAGTCTGACCCAGGACCTTGTATTTTTGCAGAGCGGTTACACGCGGGAAAGCAACAGAGAGAGCAGTGTGAAAAATACACTGCAGAGGACGTTCCTGGTTCTAACTTCTGAGCGTTCCGTCTGTTGCAGCCATGGAGGTTTCCTGCAGGCTGTGGGAAATGTGCGGGTTGTAAAAGAAACTCCAGATGAAAAAAAAGTTATTCAATGAAACTGCTCTCCCCCTTTTAGATCCAGGAAAATTTCCAGGTTTTTGTCTTCCTGCCACTAGACTCACTCTAGTAAGGGGCAGCACCTATTAACATTGAGGAAATTCCTTAGATACTATATACACCCAGGGCAGTCTTCTGTGATTGCCAAACACGTTCTCCACTCGCTTCCCTTTTAAGATAAAATAACGTTGGAATCTCACTCATAGATAGGGGGAAAAAAACTTACAAACGCCACTGATCTGCCTGTAGTCCCTAAGCATTGCCGGTAGGTGGCAGTGCGAGTCCAGTGGAAATAGGAAAGGCACCCGTGCGGGGTGGGGGTGGGGAGGGGGAGGCATTCAGCGTTGGCAGCCATTTTGTTCATTTATTTTGCCTTTTCCTTTGCCTTTGCCCAAGAACCCTTCCCAGACATCAAAGAGGAAACTTTAAGCGCAAGGATGACTCTAATTCAGGCTGAAATTTCCTGACACTGTGAGCTCACTGGCATTTATTACCGAATTGGACATAGGCTGGTTCATTTGCCATGTATTTTTCCCTGAGTGGATCATGTAGGAAATACACATTTCTCTTCTATTCATGCTAAGAACTTTCCCGACAGTTCCTGCCGTGATCGGCGTCCAGACGTTTTCTAGTCACCAGGATCGGTTGGTCGAGTTCGATTCGTAGTCCTTGGCTGTGAAAGTTGCTCCTTTCTGAAGAGTCGGCAGGCCGAGACGACCGCGGGTCGGCTGCTCTCTCCCGCCCCCTGGTGTCGGGGTGACCCTCGATCCCGTAGGAAAACCGTCTGCCGTGGGCGGCGTGGTGCGTGATAGGACGGGGGTGAATCTGGGGCTCAGACGGAGCTACCGACTCACTCTGTCAACGTGGGGAAAATGTTCATTTCTCTGAGCCCGTTTCCTCGTCCGTGACAAACGGGGTGACATTACCTGCCTCGCCAGGTGCTCGTGGAAGCACCTGGCCATACCTGGCAAATAGGCACTCAATAAATATTGGTTTCCTTTCCTTTCCTCTTGCCCCCCCCCACCCCGCCGTAACTATTGCTTATGGGAAAGCAGTCCTTCTTATTCTGACAGCCACTAAGGAATGAACCGGAGGAGTCTTTTCAAACGTTGAAAAACCGGTATTAAGTCGTGGGGGTTGCGGCCGTTTAAGGTGGCTGTTTACGAAACCTTTCTAATTATGGAACCATTCCCATCCAGACCTTTCTGTTGGAAGCTTATACTGTATTCTATTAGGGAAATCATTTTTAATCACAGGGAAAGGTCTTGGGGGCTGCACGAGTTCCCCTCCCTGGACTGTATGGCGACGAGGATCTGCGGGGCTATTAGGAGGAAAGGTAATGTAGGGTCATCTGCACAGTGGTCTCCAGGATTGTGAATCAAAAAGGCTATCAGTCTCAGGCTTCCCTGGGGGCGGGTATTAATTTTCAAGTGATACTAGAACTGAAAGGCAAATTTGAGTAGAACTTCTCTTTTTGTGTGGAACCGCAACAGGAAATTTTAGGAGATTCATAGGTTGCACTGGTTTGTTTTGGGGGTATGGCACTGAGGTTGACTCATCTTGATGGAAGTCCTAAGCCCCGAACACAGAACCACCCGTGAGCGCTAAAACTGGCTTATAGTGGGAAAGGCAGCACGGAAATTTTATGTTGGAGCCACACGCTTACCTTTCAGGTAGTATCTGCCAGCAATTTCAAGCGGCCCTTTGCCAACAACATAGCAACGGGGCAACTGTCAAGCCCACAGAAATTTGCGCGTCACGGCGCAAGGACCAGCGACGGGGTCAGCGATGGCAGAAAGGGATCGCTAATGTTCCAGCCACGGTGGGTCTTACAGCTCACAGATGTGAAGCGTGGCCGGGACCCAGGCTCTGGTTTGTTGCCATCCCATGGATATAGCTCAGTAGACCCCGGCAAGTAATGCATCCTACACTTGGGCGGGGACCCCGGGTTTTGCCCGTGTGAAAGTCCCCACAGAAACTCCCGTGCGGGTTGTGCGCTTTTATTGGGAACCCCCGCACCAACCCTCATCCAAAGGCGGGCTGCGCGACTCTGGGAGGGCGCCAAGAACTGACGAAGCCAGTCCCCGGTTTTCCTACATTTATCCAAATAACAGCCCCAAACATGAAATAGGCTTGGTGCGGAGTAGTCTTAATGCGAGCTCCTAAGCAGCACCTGAGTAGTCCGCAGAACCCCCGCCTCCAGGACACACCGTCCCCCCTCCCCGTACTTCCGCTTCCGGATGCACCTTCACTACCCCAACTAGAAAAGTTCCAGCGGTGGAGGCCGCGGGGCGTTGCCGGAAGTGTCGCAAACGCCGGATATCCGGCTTCTCTGGGCGCTCCAGGACCTGAGAGGGCCGCCGCCCAGCAGTAGACGTCGTCTCCGCCAGCCGTCCCGCAGTCCCCGCGGTGTTTGAGTGAGCCCGGGCCCGGTCGCTTCTCCCGCCGCCGCCATGGGCTGCACGTTGAGCGCCGAAGACAAGGCGGCGGTGGAGCGGAGTAAGATGATCGACCGCAACTTGCGCGAGGACGGGGAGAAAGCGGCTAAAGAAGTGAAGCTGCTGCTCCTCGGTGAGGGCCTGGGGGCGGGGCTGCTGGCCCCTTCGGGAGGGCCTAGGCACTTGGGGGTCTTGGGCGGGGCGGGGGGGGGGTCAGCCCGGGCTGGCGGAAAGGATCCCCGGAGGGGTGGAGGGCGTGACGGGCTTGGGGTGGGGAGGCTCCGGAGGACGTGCTGAGGGGGTGGGGTTTTCAGGTTGTAGGAATTAGGCTGGAGAGGGTGTGACTCCGTGCCGGAATTTGCTTTTAGCTCAGAGAGTTTGGGAGTGTGGGGAAATAGGACATTGAGACTGTGTTAGGTATACGGGGAAAGCTCACAAAAGAAGGGAAGGGTATTAGGGAAGGCTTTGCAAGGGGTTGGAGTGGGTTGGTAGCCAGGAGGCTGCTGGGGTAGATAGAGTGTGCGGGGTTTGTCCTAGGGCTTTTGCGAGACTGGAGCGTGGTGATGCTCTAGGACGGGGTACAGCTGGGTGGCGTGAATGATTGATATAAACACGGGGGTTGGGCCAGAGTAGTCACAGAAGGGTCCTGTCGTTTGTTGGAGAGTGGGCGTGTTGAACTGTTGGGAAGGTGGCAGAACGCGGGCTTGTCCAGAAACGTGAAGGGGTGTGGTGGAGCTCAGCGACAAGTTCTCAGGGGAAGGAAGAGAGCTTGCTTGTCCAGGCTGTCGATCCTTTTCCCCCTCCTTCCATCGTTTTTATTATCTTAAGGTTTTTATAACCCCATCCCTTGTTTTTGTAAAGGGGAGGTGGTGTGACCCGAGGAAGTTTAAGGACTGTCTTGCTTGAGGTTTGTGGCAAAAGGCGTAGTGGGCAATACATTACAGGCTGGTCATTGCTGAACAGCTGTTGGGGGTGGTGGGCGGTGGGAATGGAGGTATCTTAGGCTCAGGTGCGGAGCTGGGGGCACTTACTGTAAAGACCTGGGCAGAAGTCTGGTCCTGGTGAGGGGTCTTGTCTTTTCAGTCTCTTCAAACTGAAAACACCTGCTTCTGGAATTACTGTTTCTTTTAACCCACGTTCGATTTAAGCTTTTAGGTACAGTCAGATGTGTTTTACTCAGCGTGATTAGTTTTAAGATGTTTGAGAGGTTGGCTTCTAGAGGTGCAGTAAGCCTGTGAAGTGCCCTAGCATCAGCTTACCAGTAAATCAAGCCCCATTTTTTCACTATACACATTTTCCAGGGATCTGTTGGAGAAAAATACCTGTGAATAATGGTTTCTGTAAGCAGAACTCTCCTTTTTGAAACAATCAATTTTTGAGAAAAAGTTGCTTTAGGAGAGGTGCTCTACTGTAAGCTAATTTTGTAACTCCAGGATGTCCTGGGTGCCCATGCTACTCTCTCTGGGTCCCTTTTTTTTTAATATATAGAGAGGGGGAGGGAGAGAGGGAGAGAAAGAGGAGAGAGGGAGAGAGAAACAACAGTGTGTGGTTGCCTTTCTCCAGCCCCTCACTGGGAACGTGGCCCACACCCCAGGCATGTGCTCTGACTGGGAATCGAAGTGGCAACCGTTTGGTTTGAAGGCTGACACTCAATCCACCGAGCCACACCAGCCAGGCCCATGCTACTGTTTCCATATTAACCTGTTTGGGTTTGTAGCTTGCAGAAGCCAGGGTAGCAGCTCTTAGATGCAGGGGGAAAGTTACACATTAGAGCTGGAGCCTTCAGTTTGAATACCTAGTCTTTCAGAAAGCATGAATTCAAGTTGTAGTTCTAGATAGCCACTCTCTACATAACCAGCATCACTTGTGAACGAGCATCGTCCCTGCACATAGTAGGTGCTCTGTACTGTGCATGTTGGACATGGCTCTGTGGAGCCTTTCAGGTGTTTCATACAAACCGCTCCTCAAGGCATGAGCATTGTCTGTATTGATGGATTGTCTCTGAAACGAAAGGTGTGCCGCCTCTTCTGTGGGTGCTTTGATTCCCATTGCCCATCGGAGATGCCCTCAGGACGCAAGCCCGTGGGATACAGATGTGAACTCGGGGGCTTTCTTCCAAGCGGCAGAGCTTGGCAGAGGCAGACCGTGAGCAGTCAGAATTTGTCTGAGTGTCTGCAGAAATCTTTACTCAGGACCTTAAAAATAGTGCATTTAATTAAAAACAAAATGAAGCACATGATGACTTGGGGAACTTCAAAAGCAGTTAAGTAAAAATCCAAGTACTAAAGCATTTCCTTTAAATTTTTTATCAGTTTTATTGACTTAAGTCAGACTAAAAAATATTTTTGAGTAAGTTTAATCAACAAATTCAGACAGGTTACAGATACGAATGCTCTTGCTTGAGCCATATCATAACGCGTACATGAAATTCAGGTTTCTTCTTTGCTATTTCTCTAAGCAGCATGCACCCATCACAGTATACAAAGAGTTTCCTTTTTGCTGTAGAGTACCTCCTTTGATGTACATGTAAGTTATTTTTATTTTGTCGCTGTGAAGCTACTGAACACAGTCTAAGTTGAGATCTATTTACTTGCCCTTGTCTCTCAGGGCACATAATAGATGTTCACTAAATATCACTGTATTTTCTTCTTTGCAGGGATGTAGTTCAGCGTAGTGATTAACAACACAGCCTCTGACATCAGACTGCTTCAAACTCCAGTTCCCATTTACCACCTATATCTTTAGGAAGGTTATTTATGCAGTTTCTCTCTGCCTCAGTTTTCTCCTTTTTGAAGTGGAGGGAATAGGGGTACTTCATGGGATTGCTGTGAGGGTTAAATATGACAGTGATGTGTAGTAGAACACGGCTGTTGTTGTTGTTATTGTATCAAACGCATGTTGTAGATTACAGGTTCTGTGGAATTAGATTGAGAAACTAATGGGGCTGAGTTAGTTCAGGAAGACTTCAGTGTTACAACCCTTTCATTACCTTTGGTTTGAATTTCCTTTAGATCTGTTATTGGGAGGATCTTGATATGCCAGTTTAGTGTTCAATCATGATACTCTATAGAAAGTCAAAATTATATTTTGCAAAGTCTCCTGACCAGGGTGCAGTGCATAGGATGGCATACAAGTGTGCTGTTTGCAATTTTTTTGAATAGTCGAAATTTTAAATCATTTTCATAATTTTTCATTACAACAGCTGATATTTTCCATATGATTCCCTCTGTAAACTTTCTGGATTTCATATTGAAATATTTCATTTGGGAGATTTGTACCAATTAATACTTAATATCATCTGTACTACTTTGTTTTATTTTCCATGTCATGATTTTATAATATATAGAAAATATATGTCATTTTTCACCAAGCCGTCCAGCTCATCAGGCCTCACAAATACCATCATTTTCAGTGTGTGTCGTGATGGGATGGAGTTGGGAAGCACTGGTGTGATACACAAGAGCACTGCTTCTGGAATCACATGAAACCCAATTCAATTCCTGCCTCCATTTATTGACTGAGAGACCCAGAGCATGTAACTTAACCATATGAAGCTTAATTTTCACATGTAGAAAGTGGGAATGATGATGCCTATTTCATAGTATGAAATGAGATGACACATATAAAATGCTTAGTTCAGTAAATGGTGACTTCTGTGATTGCGGTGTTGTGAAGCTTATTTTAGCAACTTTTTTTCAAAATGTTTAAAACAGTTTTGAAATTTGAATAGTGTTTCAGGCAGATATTTGATCTTCAAATATTAATATACCCTTTTTAAATATTTTCAAGGAATTTTAAGAAATACCAATCTTTTGCAGTAATGGAATTAAATATTACCATTTAGTTTTGTAAGTTATTACATGATCTATTTCTGTGCTATCTCCAGATTTCCATTTCTTGATAGTTGCCCTTAGCAGATCTTGAGAAAACATTACTCAAAATGAGACCAAAGCTCTGTCTTTAGGATTTTGCCAGCGGTGGCATGGCAAAAATTAGGTTGTATGCGGAGAATTGGAATCATCTCATTCATTTAAACCTTGTACTATACAATCAGTGATTCACATTTAAATATCTGCATATCACTGGCTGAACATGCTTATTGGAAATAAGGCAGTCCTGTGATAAATCCCGTATGAAGTTACATCCTCAGAGGGTGACATTCTTGATTGTGCTTGCCTTGATCTGGCACAAGATCCGCAGACAGTTGTTAAGTTTCTCTTTAACAACTTGCATCTTGCGTCTGCGGGGGCGGGGGACTAGAAGAACTTATTCCCTGTGTCCTGTTTAAATGCGTTTGTCATCCTGCAGTCTGACAGTGTGGCCCCCCTCAGGAACTGTAAGACTGTGATCTTCCTGAGCGGGCTGCCTCCGTCGTGACGCCTCCATCGTGACGACGTGGGGAGTAGGGTGCTTCTTATGGACTAGATTCCTTTACGGCACGTGTAATCTTTACATCAAGGCTGCATCTGCGTTTCTTTAAAAATAATTTTTCACCTATTCAACTTAGTTGCACTGTTCCAGAAAAGTCTTTTAGAGTTGTGGCAGGTGTGTGCGGTGAAAGCGGTCCCTCTCTGAGTTCTGGAAGGCGTTGAAACCTGAAGACCTGCGCTGCTTTCTCTGAGCTGCCTTGTCCCGAGTTTCTAGGAAAGGAAAAGGGAAGTGCATGGGTCTTGGCAGGTGCTTACTCTACCTTCCCCAACCCTCTTTCTCCTTTCTGGTTTTCCCCACACCATTCAACAGCAGCAGCAGCAGCAGCATCCTGGGGGTTGTGTGCCCCTTAGGGCTTCAGGAGATCCATGGCCTTGTAAAACTCACTAGCAAAATTTATGGTGTATGCATTTTTCTGGGGAAAGGAGTCGTAGATTTCATTAGGCTCTTCCTCTGCAACACTACCTACCGCCCACTCTTTAAGGCCCTCATCTGGCCCAGGAAAGTCAGTGGCTGTGCAGAAATGGGATGTTCAAAATGCAAAAGAAAAAACCTAGACACTTTCAAGAGTCTTCAGTTCCTCTTTCAGAGGACAGTTTTTTCCTCCAGGTGGCCCGTCTTTCTCCCGCTTCCCCAGTGAATCAATGAACTGCTGGCTGCCACTCGCCTCAGGCCAGTAAGTCCAGTGTAGAACTTACCTGCCCA